TCTAAATTGCTTTAAATCCGTTATTAAAACAATATTACACAATTTGCCAATTTTACTGCTCCGCTCCGCCAGGCACGGAGCTATTTGTGTTTTCTATTTTTTTGTCAATGTTTCCGAATTTTATAAATTAATCCCTTCGATTTACAGCTAAAAATAAATTCGGAAGCGATTATTCCTTCCGATATCTATTATGTAAAGTTATCTTTTGGTCTTCCCTTTGGTGATCACAGCTTGTCATATTAATGAATGAGACCGGGAAACAAAGCTATAAATAGATATGACCTTAACATTGTGAAAATCTATTTATAGAAATTGTTTAATTAACCGCTATGGCAATAAATAATGAACTTGAGAGTTTTTCTGGAAATGAAATGCAAACATATTCAACCATAAATTGCATTTTTTTAAATTTATCGAAAAAAGGCCATTTTTACGAATTGTTATATCATAGTATCACCATTTTGAAATTGTCTTTTCCGTAGGTTCTTTCCAGTGAATTAATAGCTCCTGTCTTTTAACGGCCCTGATTGCACTTCATGCATCTTTAAATCGATCCTGATTTCCCGAATTTTTGCTATGAGAAGTTGATTCTATTTTGTTTGAAGGCAATCGGTTTTATGTTGGTTTGACCGAATACTTATACATTTTAACCACAGAAACTTTTGTCTGATGTGTTATGGGTTTATTGATAAGAATGTATGAACACTGGTGGGTCAGTGCAATTCAACAAAATAATAAATTGATCTCCCAATAAATAAATTAACAATAGCTCTTTATTTATAAATAACACTGATCTATAAAAACGAATAGGAAGCTCCGAAAGTAGACGATAGTCATATTCAGATCCACAATCCTTTACCCGCTTTGGTGAATATCGGGTTTTCTCGCTTGTCTCCGATTTTTGCGCTCTCGTTAACCTTCGGCCATATCCGTGAATTATTGCTTACATATGTATGCCGACATAGATTTTCATCGGAGAAATATTTGTATGGAAAAGTGTGTTTTGAACGTTTTAGAATAAACAACTATTGCGTCTTAAAAAAGTAGAAAATGCTTAGTCTTTTTTGTTGATGTACCTTCTTGAATTCAATTTGGCTGTATTTCGGCTACTTTTACCCATGATGCACCAAATCTCGCAAAATCCCACGACAAAGATAACATGCGGGAACACAATTCCGCCGATACTGCATTTAACTTTGTGACGTCACAGTTTCTTCTCCGTCTATAATGTTTCAAAATATCAACATGCCATGCAAACTTATTCATGATTTTAAATGTACCATTATTTTTGTTAACGCGTGTAACAAAAATCCTGAATTTGGTCTTTTTGAAATTCATCTTAAAGTTTTCATCCTAGTGTGTGTTCTACTTTCAGTATTTATCTGAGACTTAAATTATAGCAACTGTATCTTGAGTCCAAGGTATCAAAAGAAACCATTTTCTTAATTTGATAGAAAAACAATGCATGTTATATTACAATATTAGTCTCTCTCTTTTGTTACTATTTGTATGTACTGTTTGTATATAATAACAATAATGAAAAACAGAATTTGTTCATTGTTACTATGTTTTGTATGTTCCAAAGAAAATTTATTTCTTATTCTTAATTTTAGCAAGCCTACCAAAGTTCATGATGAACAATGTCTTTCGTCCGCCCAATCATCTATGATATACATGTACAATTCTGGTAAAATCGAATTAACCATTAAAAAGTTTAAAATAAAATTTGGTCATCAGATGTCTACTAGTTTATCGTCACTTGCCGCATTTCTTGCTTGGACGCCATTTGATGCTTTGCATCAATGCCTTTCTTGTTATAACATGATGTACCATTTGCCGCGAAACATGTTACGGACATTTTGAAAAATAAAGTCGATTTGGCTTATTTACATGAGCATTATAATATATCTAACAATGATTAGTTGTTGATATTTGTAGAAAATGAGTAGCATTATAGGTGAAAAAGAAAATGTACATGCTTTGATATTTTTATCTCATTTCATTGTTTTTTTACTGTAGTGACACAAACAGATGTCATTATAAGTCTTGTAAGTCTTGTTTGCATTGGAATTACTTTCCTTACCAGGTAGGCATCAGTAAAAGCATTTTATTTAAATTTAATATATTGCCGCTGTCTAGTGGACAATGCATACGATAAGTATACTTATGCATATTTAAATGAGTAAGCCGGGGAGAATTTGAAAGCATATAGGCAATTGTTGAGTATTAAAAGTTTTTCAATGAATTTATAGATATTTAGGAAGTATATATCACATGAAATTGTGCTGTTTGTCTGGCATTACTAACCGAGGAAAAGATAATATATAATTAATAAAATGATCAAATTTGAATTTTTTATTGGAAATTATTTATCAAGGTTTTCTATAAAAATTCTAATATATTATGCAAAGATTATCAAGGTTTTCTATAAAAAATACTAATATATTATGCAAAGATGAAAATGAAATGACCAAAATGATGTTGTTAACGTAGAAAAACTATACAGAATGACTAACAAAATAAGTGCAATAAACATGACTGAACAGAAATGCATGAATAAATATATACAAAGCTAAAGTCCTAATTGGACTTTAACCACAACTACTCGAGATTTCCCAAAACCATTAGTAATTAGGATGTCCTAGTGTGTTATGTTTTGTCCTAGAATGTTTCATTTTCGTAAATAAATGACGAATTTAAAGATATATAAGCTAAATTTAATAATTGACCTTGACGGGTAAGGTCATTTAAAACTCAATGTCATATAAAAAGTATTCAAAGTGTCCGTCTGGTCAAAAGTGTTGTTCTTTTCTCTTATGAATTTAATCCGTACGTAAATAACAAAATTACGAGAACTGAAGCAAGATTCAACAATTTTAATGACGGTCAAGGTCATTTAAAAGGCCATGTCAGTTCATCCTTTTAGAAGGACTTGTCAGCAAGGTTATTTTGCTCAAGTATGAAGATTATTCATTAATTATTTACAATTATAGCAACAATCAGTGAGAATTCAATTTTGAACTTCAATTTAAGGTCATGGATGAGTTAAGATCAATTTGAGCTTGATTTACAAGAAAGTTTTATATTGCAGGACCATTGTCTAAATATGAAGTTAATCTTTATATAAAAAAGTAATGGCCACTTATGCTAAAAAAGAGAAAACTCATTGGTTTTACCTAGACGGTCAATTAAAGGTCAAGTTGACATCTATTTTTTCTATGTGTTTGTTTGGTCTTGTTTGGTTTAAGTATGAATCAAATCCGTACAGAAAAAGTTATGACAATTAAAGCAAATTACAATAATATAACTTTGACGGTCAAGGTCATTGAATGTTCAAGGTCAGTTCAACCTGTTAGATGGTCTTGTCGAAAAAGATGTTTTGTTCAAGTATGAAGTTATTTAAAGCTCAAGATCAATGTCAGTTCAACTTTTTAGAAGGTATCAATTACAAAATTACAGCCATTTATGGCAAAAATCAGTGAAAATTCAAAAAATTACTTCAATGTAAAGGTTATTAATAAGCCAATGTCAATTTTAGTTTTATATGCAAGAAGGACGTATCCTAGAGAATGTTATATTTTAATATGAAGTAAATTCATTTATTTATTACAAAAGTATAGCAAAAGAACATTTTGATAATTTGACTTTCAAATCTGTGTATTTATTCATGTTCAACCATGTTACAAACAGAAAATTGTTTAATGTAATAAGGTTGATGCACAATAAAGTAAAATTATTTATGTTTAAGACGCACGATAACAATATTGAAGAATGGAAACACACATACTTTTAAAAACAAGAGGGCCAAGATCGCTCACCTGACCCAGCCTTGATGCCTTGATAATATGTTATTAACTAATGTATGCGGATGTATTCATGCGCGATACTTCTGAATTCTAAATTCTCACTTCTTCACATCAGATTCTTGATAAACATTTCTAAAATAAAGTTACATGCATAGAAATAATTGGCATGATTTATTTGTATAAGTAAAACCTAAAACAAAATAAAAAACACTGCCATTTTTTACGATCACGTAACCTCGAAAATCACGATTGTTCGTAGAATTCAGCACAGTAACATCGAGCATGCATACATGCATACGTTAATATTTTCAACAATACTCTCACAATCTCCTTAATGTAATCAAAAGCACTATAATTTGCATTATGAAATAACGACCTAGCACACATGAAAAAATCTTTTAATTATTGGTAATTGTTTGTTACATTTACGAACTATATGTTTTCTGCGCAGCAGCAAATGAGAGTTAGTTATTCGGCTTTTATAGCTCAAAATTACCAATCTCTCGAGAATCTGTTTTAACTAAAGCGGCTTACAATCAAAAGCTTTCAAAATAAAGACCACAATATTTTTTTATACCTAAAAGGTCTTCAAACCATTGTGTTATCAAAAAATATGTCTGTCATTAAATGTCACTCGGGAGCTATATGTTTTAACATTTGCTCTGAGCGAGAGATTTTCAACTTCTATAACGAAGAAGAAAATATATCCATCAATCCACATATTTACACCATATAAATACGATGTGGGCTGGCTTACATATATATAATATGAACATTTATATTTCAAATATTTGAATTTCGCTCAAAATGTGTTTAATGTGATATTTTAACAGAGAACTAGTAACAATAAATTATTGTTGAAAAGTGATCCCTCGGTAGCATAGACCACAACATAATTATATGAAAATTGCAGACTCGCTATGATTGGTCTTGTACATGATGAATAATGACAATTTTTAATTAATTTGTTTTTATTACTATTTTTGTCGTATTTTTTCTACAATGCAGCTGCTGCACCTGCTACTGATATTGGTGTTACAACATACAGCATACAAAAACTTGTTGTGTAAAAAAAAATTAATTGTTTGTTTCCTATTTAAATTCGCTTTTGATTTACTTTTTTATTTACTTTGTCAATTATGTGATAATAATTTTTTTTGTTTATCGTTTTAATCTTTGTTTTCATTTTTACAGGATGCTGCATGGAGTTAATGACGAGTCCCTGAAATATTTACCATCATGCCTGGAAAATACCTCTCGTGTTTATATTCTGTAAGTTTTTTTTTTTTTTTTTTTTTTCTTTTTTTTTACTGCTAAAATCTCCTTTCTATTATACAGTGTATACAAAACTATTGTTTTAAATTCACATAATTGAGATGTATATGTATTATTATATTATTGTGGTAAATCATTCCAAAAGATATAGGTAAAAACGGTGGATTTGTTATTTTCACAAAATGTTTAGTTGAAGAGAACCTCGAGCAGCCTGGATAGTGGCTAGTCGATGGTCAATAACTGGGGGAATAAGACTGTAGCTAAACTCTTATCTAGAATACCGTAATAGTTTGATAGTCGCATTAGATCTATGCATGTTAATGCATTACCAACTCATTAGTTCTACCCCATTTATTCATCATATTTTAATACACTAATTTTTGCTTGGATCAAATGCTAACAAAATTCTTTTTTTTGTTCATTTGCCAAGGCATTCGCATTAAATTTGCATTAAATCTATTTTTTTATATTATTATATATTACAGAAACATCTACATGCAGATTATGTTTTATAAAATTGCCTTAAGCAATTTGTAATGTTACAGTAGCTGATCAATATTTTTTCTCACCGTTCGCTTATTTACTTCATATTTATAAATATAATATTCATTTTGTTTATTATTCTTTGTTGACTTTGCATTAAAGGCATAAAAATAGTGAATGGTTAGAGCTTACCCTTAATGATGATAATAATTTATAATTCAGTCCATTTAACACTGTAATCATATAACTAACTACCTTGCGTTATGTGGTTTTACATAATCATTTACAAAATTTCTAAATCTTTTGGCCAGATTGTTGTCGATTTAATGACAGAACAATTAAGAAATTCATGTTCATCAAAGCGAACCGTAATATATTCTACAGCTGATTCAGCAAATGATAGATCCCTGCTATTTTATCTGAAAAAACAATAGATTTAACTTAAAACATTGACTTATATATATGTTGTTTTGGTAACAAATACATTGTGATGGATTTCTTATTTTCATCCACTAAACTATTCAACAGACTAGGATTACACAGAGATATATGCATTACAGCACCTTACTTAATGTAAGTGTCATAGACGGCAGTGGTAAATGCAATATACCGTCCACACACCCCATAGTATCGGCTTAAGAATAACTTAATATTTAGATAAGAAAGCGTTCTTTGTAAATACATCAAAGAAAAGACTAGTGGAGAAAGGGGACATTAGTTTAATATATATCAATATATTCTGTCTGATTCATAGCGTAATGATCGAAAACGACTGTCTGCCGCTGAGAATATTCAGAATTTATTGTCTAGCTAGTCATTCTGTAAATGATTGGAGCTCTTTGCACGTTATAATCTACACCGAATTTACTTTTTTGTTTCCGTGTTTTTCAGATCTGTTCGTGAAAGCAATTTTACATTGTCGGGACTAGTCAATGCATTGTCAGATCGCGTCAGAAAGTTCATTGTCGATCTGTAAGTTTTATTTCATATACTTACATTATACCATTTGTGTAACGGTATTAGGACAGAACAAGCAGTAAGAGGATGTCGCTTATATGAAGTGTTTCTGACTGCCGAACAAGATCTTACGCTAAAATTTATACTACAAAAGAACTATGCATCCATCAAAATACATTAGGTCCAGCAAGTGACGCTTTCATTTTAGTTTGTTGTTTATATTTGAATGATATCTACTATTCAGTGTTTTTATATGTTTTCGATCATTTATGATATTTTAAAGAGGACCAAATGCAAAATTCACGTTTAAATGTGTTGTTGTTTGTTTATTTCATTCGTGTACAAATTATTGAAGGTGTTAATGCCTAGCCAGCACATCAGATTTGTCTGATCATACTCTGTGCTGTTCATTTCAGTCAATTCATATTTCGATTTTTTCCCTAAAAATGATGAATGGTTAAGTCCATATTCAAAGATAGGCAAGTCCATTTACGGTATCAAGGATTTGAGATTAAAAAACAAACATCGTAGTAGCATATAAAATATTCAATAAATTTTTGAAAAAGTAAGAATAAAAAAGGATTTGCAATTAAGCTTCATGCACAAGTAGGTGAAGTCGTTCAATTACGACAAATGAACTTCAAAATAGATGGTATAAATCAAATTTCCACGCAAATTAATCCCAACACATAAGAAAATATGTCGCAGGAAAAAACCTAGTATATATTTGTTCTAATGAGGTTGTACTTTGCTCGATGTCAGATCATTTATCGCCGTTAGTATAATCAAGATTAGTGGGCCAGACAGCCTTACAATAATTTAAGACCAGATCCATTAGAAAACGTGTTTTCAAAGGTCATTATTTGCTTTCCCGATGATGCATCTACGTTTTAAGTTAATTACCTTTCATGTGTCATTAATCATAAATATTCATACATTTTTCAAGCGGTGCCTTTATTCATAGTCCACCCTCTTAGCTCAATAGTGAGCTCTTCAGATTATTTGATCAGAGCCGGGGTCACTTGTTTGAACCTTGGTCCTTGTTTAAATCTCGGGAGGTGCAAAAAAATTTCCATGACAACTTATCTCTGACATTGAGTCAAATGGTAATTTGTCTTAGCAGCTGATTTAGAAATCATGTGCGATTAGTACTCGGTCGCTTGCGGAGAAAATTGGTAATAACTATCCAGGACAGTCTGAAAGTTGGACTAATGGGGGCAAAACTAGAAAAAACAAAGCATAGTTAAGTTTTACTGTAAACGAAAAAGTCAAAAATGGTTATAGTAATGACGTCATTATGTTATTGGCGTTGATTCATGAGCTTAAACACTGTGTTTACATATCTATATAAATTAGATTATCTATCATAAATAACTGAGAATGTACTGTTCATTTTTTTCAGTGAAATTAACAACTGTGATATAACTGAGATTCCAACAGGGGTTTTATCCAATCTACCGAGACTCCGATATATGTAAGTAGAATTATTTAATATGCCGCCTGTCACGTGGTTTAATTCGTATTTCTTGTGATTCATATTGAAATTATTTTTTTCCAAATAAGTGCATTTGTTAATATCAGTTATGAGTAAAAATTCTTTAATTACTTTCAGTAATCTTAGAGGCAATACGATTTCAGTTCTCGATGTGCAATCTTTCAGTAATATGACGTCATTACAAAGTATGTAAGTATATGCATTTATTTATCAAAAAGAAAATCAACAATAGTTTTAAAAGTTTAAAACCATTGTTTTTTGTTGTTTTTTTGTTGTTTTTTTGTTTTTTAAGCAAACAAAATAATGCTGGAGTATTTGTCAGCATTATCATATTTGTAATATATTGGTCGTTGTAAAATAGTTTCGCCTTAAAGCTGAATGCCTCCGGATGAGCCAACATATTTCAAGAAAGCATAAAAGTGAGAAAAAAAATGTACAATGATTATAAGAAAAGTTAAAAGATTTAAGATTCGGGTAATAATTTACATGTTTAATGACTGATTTTGCAATATTTATCGTCTTATTACTACTAAACAACTTACAAAGTAAGGGCTATTTTTGCATATTTTGACTTCTCTTTTTTTGGTAGTTTACGTGGATTGAAAGTGCAATGTTTACATGTTTACTCTTTTTTGGTTCACTTCACAATAATTAACTTTTAGATACATTGTCAAAATGTTCATGCAAATAAGCATGAATATCGAGGCATGCTGCTTAAAACTCTGGGTGAACACTGGGAATTAAAAATATCCAACAAAGAACGAACATTTTATGAAAATACAATAACCCTGCCTAGAAATATAAGACAACCATAACTTGAATTTCTTTTCATAATCCAAATTAACTGATGTTACGAAAATTGAACTACCAACATTTTTGAAGTAATAATTACATGTTTATAATAAAGTATGTATGTATATTTCCATATGACTCACGACATGATTACATATATTGTTATTTAATTTTTAATTAGTAACTTAAGGAGCTCCACTGAGGACTAACTCATCCTATTTGAAAGTGGCGCATACGTAGATCAACTTGGGCACTTAAAACAGTAAAATATGCAAAAGATAATAAAGAAATATACTTAGAATTGTGTCGAATGCCTATTTTTGTGCGATTCATATGCCACTTTGAGCATTTAAACGCTTTTAATTTTTGGTCATTTTCGCACAATAGAAACATTATTCTGCTAGAAAAAAAAACGGAGTGAACGAACGATATAAAAATTTGCACACGGATGTTTTGCTCTAGACCTATATCATGCGGCATAGAAATCTTGGAAATAATATTTCCAGACGCTTAATTGGATAATTAGATGTCATATCAATATTGCTAAACTGACTGGACAATCAAATGAATTTAGAAAAGAAATGAATCGCATAAATGTAACTTCGATGTCTAACGAGTAGCACATAACGGCTTTGTGTTTTGTATAATATTTATGAGGAATTAAAGGTTATAGTTGATTGAAATAAGTTGAAAAAACCGATAATTTGAGCTGGCACAAATACATCTTGTATTGTAAAAAGCCATTGAATGGTTTATAAGATTATTTAGTCAGTTAAGTAAACAAAACAATTTCACATTATAAATCAATACTGATTGTTTCTTATCTTCTAGAACTCCCTCTTTTATCCAAGTTATAACTAAATACAATACAATTGGATAGGTTTAAAGACATGTTATTTTTCCGAAACGACCGAGTATTACTTCTTTAAAAAGGGCACACATGAGTTTTAAACGTTTAAATAGTAGCTTTAAGGGCATGTTAAAATCTTATCACATAGAGAAAGAGCGCTAAATACGGAAACATAAAATAAAAAGCTAAATGTAAACAATGTATTATTTTTTACTTTAATTTTTTTATTAAATTATTATAACTGTACTTATTTCTTAAAGTTACAAAAGCAAAAGAAGATCCAGGTAATTGGCATATTCAATGCGTAACCTTTTAGAAAATATAATGGGACGCCAAATATAAAACTCTTTTGAGAAATGAAAAAAAGCATTTCTGGTGTACAATTGCCTGTAAATTGAATATTTTACTTTAGAACTACTAAGAATCTCCTCTATTGTATCTTAAAAGTATTCCCTTGCATCTATCGAATTAACGAATTTTTTTTTCTATCAGCGATTTCAATATCAATTAAATGAAAGAAATAAAAAATGTCGCAAAAGAACATTTTTTTCTTCAAAATGATGTGTAAGGCCATGTTTTAACATGGTAAACTAGATTTTGGTTATTTCCAAGTTATTTTATCATTGTTAATGAAAGAAATACAAAATGCCGCAAAAAGACAATTTTTCTTCAAAATTATGTATAAGGCCATGTTTTGACATGGAAAAACTCGATTTTGGTAAATTCCAAGATTTTTCATTATTTCCTGTAAATGAAAGAAATAAAAAAAAGCGCAAATGAACAATTTTCTTCAAAATTATGTGTAAGGCCATGTTTTAAAATGGAAAAACTCGATCTTGGTTAATATTATGATTTTTCATCATTTTCTGTTAATGAATGATATTGTTAAAACAACATTCATGTTTGTAACATTTCGGTATGTTTGCCATTGACACCGTCCCCTTTCTTTCTTTGTTAAGTTCTCGGTTGTCAGAAATAATTCCAAAAGTCATTTGCAAAATTAAGAAATGATATTACTACGGTAATCCAGTATATATCTTAGCATTACATCGTATCTATATATATTCATAATCAGCTAGATACAAATGTACCCATTGGGAACACACGCATGAGAACACGTCATTTAAACGGCTTTAGGAACCTAATCAAAATAGATTGTTATCTTAATAAATAATTGAACCCTTTGGCAGTGTCACGTAGAATTCCCGTTAAAATGTTTATATAGTAATTTATCAACAATCAATATTTGAAAAAAAAGTGTTTTCTCATGTAAATAGTACGTGAAGATATAAAAATACAACATTGACTGACAATTAAATGTTGCAACACTATAGCTAGCTTTGTTCAAAGACAGTCATTTGAAGCCCACATCTAGTTCGGCGCTTTGTCAACGTGTTAACATAATTGCTTGTTGAATATTGCAAAAACTTGGGCTAGATGAAAGATAAAGGTATATAGTAATACAGGGTCTAGTAAACTAGTAAAAAGTTCTTCTTTGCTCCTAATAATGATACCTTTCCCTCGGAAAATTTGCCTCGCAAAATATAACCATAAATGTTTCCATTTACATCCTTGACATTTTTATATTTCAGAAATAATTGCATTTTATGTTTTTCTTTTAGAAACCTGTCCAACAACCGTCTTAAAACAATCCTTCCTAATACATTTATCAACTTGCCGGAGCTAAATGAAATGTAAGTACGAAAAATCTGATTAATTCTCAAATAAGTTTGTTTGAATTCATGTCCTTTTCAAAATCCTGTATTCTGAAAAATAGCTTTTGAAATAAGGGCCTTCAAGCCAAAAAGGTAAGATTGCAGACATCAAATCTCTGAAACCTTACCGAAGTGAGAACGAATCCAGCCTAGGTGTTTGAATAAGTTCATTTAACGAAGCAATCTAGATAGTTTAAGAAAGGTCGGTGGTATAAGTGAGCTTATGCATGAAATTATGCACAGATTGGCACTTGAGGTCTTCCTCCTGAAGAGGTAAAGCATTTAGTCGCCATGTGACCCTAAAAAAAGAATAGATGTGTCTTAAAAGAAGACAAAAAAAACATAATTATTATAAGTGGCTATTCATTTGTATACTTTTAATTATACAATAGGTCTTTCATGAAAAGGGTTTCATCGTTACACTGTTTTAATTCTAGATTTGTTTTGGAAAAAAATAATACTAGTTTTTTAAATAATCGTAAAATGCAAAACAATATTTCATTCAACTTATTAAATTGATGACAAATAGTATTCTATCATGTTGAACAATTAAATATTTTATAAATTTCTTTCACTTTTTTCAGACGTACTTTTGAGAATTTTGCACGCATGTTTATTTGTAATACTAACGTTTTTATTTGTTTCCTGCTTCCTTTTTTATAAACAAACTCAAAATTAGCACTATTAAAGTAGTTAAACCATAGCAGTTGAATTTTAAATTTAAACCTCTGGAGGTCAATCATTAAGAATACCAGCATGGTGATTTCTTTTTCAGTTCCCTCCAGAACAACAAATTGAACAATATTTCCAGGAATGCTTTCCGGAATGTGCCTTCACTCATAGTCATGTGAGTAAAAAGATATTTAATTGAGCAACTTTAAGAATTATTAATGACTCATTGACATCGGGGTAATAAATTCACTTTTTATGTTTTGTCCAATATTAAGCCCTGTTACCACCATGGTTCCTCACACGACATCATTGCTGATTGGAATCAGGAAGAAGACCCGACAGTGTTTGGTGTTCAGATTGTTAAAAATTTGTAACTGAAACAATATAACAAAAAACTTCAGCTGTACATTTAATTTGACAATGTATATAATTAAAACTTTAGTACTGAAGTGCTTTTTTTGAAGAAAAAAAAACATCTTCATTTCATACAGCGTTTTACTTTTTATAGTTAATTTATACTCAATATGTGTAGGCTGTCTTAGACGGAATCAATATAACACGAAATTTCAGCTGTTCTTCTAGTTTGTTTTATATAATTTTAGTACTGAAGTGCATTATTAGAGAAAAACCATCTTCATTTCCTACATCGTTTTACTTTTTATAGTTAATTTATAGTTAATATGTGTAGGCTGTGTTAGACTGAATCAATATAACATGTAATTTCAGCTGTACATCGAGTTTGTTTTATATAATTCTAATCCTGAAGTGCACTTTTAGAGACAAAGACATCTTCATTTCCTACAGGGTTTTACTCTTTTTATAGTTAATTTATAGTAAATATGTGTAGGCTGTCTTAGACATATTATTTATGAACATTAAAAATCATATACTCTTTCAAACTTGTGCTCATGAAGTTTTAGTAATGTTGTCACTATCTATCACTTCAAATGCTGAAACTATGATTTTTTTGTTAGAGAACACTTTATTATTTCGAATGTTTTTAATATTAAATTGTTGTTTTTAATATTTAATTGTTGATATAAATTAAAAATGATGTTCTTTAAATCTAAAAGGAAATATAAAACATCTTGTCAATTATAATTTTTTGTTATGACTGTAAGAAACAATGCTGTATATTGCATTTATTTTACAGATACTTTGACCATAACCGCCTCAAGGAAATACCTTACTTTGCTTTTACGCCACCAAGAATAAAGTTTATGTGAGTTTTAATAATTTGTAACTTCTCAAATTATCTTTATAATATTAAATGTAGCTTTCAATGATGCAAAAATATGAACTTTTACTTGACATAGCCTATTTGGTGACACCTACGTTTTACTGTTGATTACATTCAATGGGTTCAATAAAGTATTGAACATTTTGCACGAACAGCACAGCAGCAAAATTGCGTTCTTCCTCTATATTTTAGGTCAGTTGTTCTTATTGTTCTAGAGTGATTTCAAATGAAGCTTGTATTTATTCAAGCTTGCAACACCATTTTGTGGGTACCTATAGGATATTGTATAGAAAAACTAACAAGGGTTTGGAAACTATGTATCCACACATTTTTTTACATGAGGAAAAGCCAGTGACATAACTAATACCTTTAGGCAATGAATTGACCATATTGTATCCTGTATGTAGCTTTCATTTAAAGTGACATTTTGCTCGTGTTTCGCTGTCAGTTAAAGTTGAATTAGTTATATATTTCAAGTGATTGACTATTATAATGGTAATTGACCAATAATTGATATTGAAAAAAAATGTAAAGAATAAAATATAAAAAATACTATAAATGATAAAAAGATTACCCCATCTTATTTTAATTTGAACGTTACTGCTTCATTCCAAAACATATTTTTTTAGAAAAGTTCATGTGTCACGCGGATTATTGATTATTTCTTTTTGTAAAATAAAATATCAAGTTGAACACAATTGCGGCAAAATGTAAAGATATGTACTCTCACAATTTTCACTTGGAAGGGCATAATGTCATTTAAGCCATCATATTGAAATACATATATAAATATTTATTACCCTTTATTACCAGAATTTTTCCGCATTTTGATTGGATATTAATCAACCGAAAGAAATTGATATTACCGAGCCAGACAGGTAATTTGCACGCTAAATTTCCCCGTTGAGTACCCCACGTTGTAAACAACATGCGCTGTGGCGATGCGCGTACGGTTTGATCGTACACGATGTAAATTCCGATTTACAAGCACTTTTTAACTGTCAAATGATAAATATTTACCAAAATAGAGTAATGATACATATTCTCATCAGAATTGGAAACAAATATGACCTTGTGAAAGCTTGATATTAATTTCAAAAAAGTGCGTTCAACAGACTTCTCCTTTTCTCTTGTTTACATTCGTTACGTTCGAAAGAATATACGTCATGTATTTAAGTGACGTCATGTTGTGGTACCCTAAAGGGAATCTTATTTCGACTTTTCATTTGAAGTAGCAATGATTTATTTTAAAATCGTCTAAGTTCGACAGGGGAAGGGTAATAAAATTATTATTTTGGTTTTGGAGTGATATATGTGGATATATTACCTGCCAAGATAACGGCTCGGGTGATAAAATCTTGACAGGTAATATATCCACATATATCACTCCAAAACCAAAATAACATATAATATATAACTGACTGATTGATATAAATCTTTTTTTTCTCAATGCTTAAAATATTGATATCAAATACTGACATTTTTTTATCTAGGCATGCTACAAACAACAGAATACGGGAAATTTCATCCAACATTAAACGGCTGAAGGAGCTTGTTAATCTGTATGTATAGCTTTTATTACACCCTGAAAAGGTTACACGAAATATCAGTTTCCGGTTTCTTTAGTAAAGTTATCCGTTCATACATTCTTTACATGTATGAAAGTTGTATATTTTAATCAAAATTTGAATAAATGTGATGACAATTTCTATAAATAAATTGACATTGCGCTATTGAAAACTAAGATGAATTTGTAAAAAGTTTGGGACGTTTTAGAAATTATAGAAGCATTCAAAATTATCCTTGCAACCCATTGGTATTCATCAGGAATATGGTTACAGGCCCGAAATAGAAACTATTACTTCTGTAAAAAGGGCATACATGTATTTTATAATGTTGTAAAAATGGATAAAGAACATGTATGTACAAATTATCAAAACGCAAAAGAAGCAAATAATGGGTCAGGTTTACGGCCAATGAATTTTTTTTTCGTTTGGGAAACTTTTACAGAACACTAAACGAGAAGATTTTGAATATAACAATGAAAAAGCAAAATTATGCATTTTAAGGTATATTGTGCCTTTAAATCTAAGCTTTCTGAAATAATGTTTTACAAAATGGAACATTCCCCTTTTACATTCAATACTTAGCAATGAGTACGGTTCTTGCAAAGCTTCCTCTTAAAATCTTATAGGAGTCGGCAAATAATATTTATTATTTAATATAAGTGGCGGCATGGCCGAGTGGTTAACGCGTCATACTAGTAATCTCATGATCGGTAGCCGCATTGGTTCAAACCCCGTCAGGGGTAAGTCATTGTTTCCTTGAGCAAGAAACTTTACACTCATTGCTCAGTACTGGTTGGTTCCAGGAACGAATTTGAAAGTGTGTCTATAAGCTTATAGCTTCCTACACTATCGAACTAAAATAAATTCTGTTATTTCCCCCAGCTAGTGCTTTTACCGGTTGATGTGTCGTATTGTCGTTCCGATGATTAAATGACGCTGTTCTTTTCCTGGAGTTATTGAATAACATAGTATATTGTTATAGGTTCATGGCGTGACGGACGCTCATTAAGAAATATACGTCTTTTGTATTTATTCACTTCTCATTTTGCCTGAAATTGATTTGATTTGAAGTGATATATGATATCCATGCATATTTACTTGCATTCCATGTGAATTACAATTGAGCGCTTAGCAATAGAATGTGTGTCGCCGTATGTGTTACAGGTCGAAATTGCACGCATCAGGCGCGTGATAATGACGCGGGTATCAAAGTGATATGGTACATAAAATCTGACGTTTTCGTGTGGTTTAAGTTCTTATATGCACACAAAAACAAATCTGTAGACACAGAAAAACTAAATTGGCATGCATCCATCTAATTTATCATCAGTTGTGAAAGGAAAACTTTTTCTTTTAAAAAATCAGACATTTATTGCACATCTTATGTACAAAGCTTATTTTAACATAATAATATGACTGATAATGTGTTCGTCATTTTCATCACCAGAAGCAGCACACGATCATTAACATGTATGATATAATCATCATCGCATTTATCTACGTTCATCATACTGACCATCATCACAATTAGCGCATGACTACTAGCGCAAAAAAGCATCATGTTTCAAATGAGCAGCACAGGCAATAAGACAAATTATCAGCATAAGTGTAACCATCATCAACAACACCACAATTATAAAAAATTATCACCATCAATATTATCATCATCTTCACGATCATCTTTAAGACTGCATCATCACAACAATCGTCACATGGTCACCACCACCATCATCATTATCATCATGACAACGTAACGATCAACAAGCATAATTACAAAGATTGCAATGATGATGATGATGATAATGTTGATGATGATAATTTTTATTATATAGGATATCATATTGTGACATAGCCGTTATTGTTTTTTACATTCATTATCGACAAGACGAATATCACATGAGACAGATGTCATTTTCACTTTCAAATATATCCCACATGTGTATGACATATACTGCTCAACAAAATGGTATTTGTGACATTGCTCTTTTATAATATATCTTTCGAGAAATCAATGTACTTTTAATACTATAAGTAATGTTATAATTACATTCTTTTCTTTCTAGCGTTTCTTTAAATTCCTGAACTAGCAATCTAAATATACGAACTATTAAAGAGTATTAACATAGGGTCAGAATATAATGTTGAGAGCAGTTAATAAAAACTAACAATGCGTTAAAAATTAACAATTATAATCCACGATTAAATTGCATATACTTTATTGATACCTCACATAAAACATAATAATAATTTCAATTAATATTTAAGGTTTTTTGTCTATACAATTTTATATATTTTATGTAAGGAAGCTAATGGCGGTTCTACTCGGGTACCCGCTCGTGCCTGAAATAATGCACGTAGGGGCACCTCAGGTCTTCCTCCACTAGAAAATCTGGAAAGTCACCATATGACCTTTTCTATTTCTCATTAAGAAAGACTTACTATTTTGAAAAAAAACAACATTTTCTTCTTAAGGTTACTGTCCAACAAATGATCCACCTGTTTTACTTTTGAAGTTTCTCATAAAAGCATTTAATGTATCTTTGGGTTTCTTCAAGCAGAAAATAAATGGAAAGACAATCATTAATCATTTTTATTTTCTTTTAATTGCTATCTGTGTTTTTAAGACTTTAAACACCTTTCAACTGCTTCATATCCATCGGTTTAATACCACTTCTATTTAAACTAGAGGATGCTTTTGTAAAAAAGCGCATGTCTCCCCCACTGCTGAGAATAACTGTGAATGGAAACAGGAATGGAAATGGAGATAAGATAATGTAAATACCCGGTAGTCACTTCAATGAAGGCTGTCTATGGATGGTTTCTATTGTTAAGGTTGTATGAGAAGATGCTTCCTAAACTGTTTGTTTTTAACCAGGTATTCAATTTTGAAAATCCTGGTTATTCAATCAGCGTATGGCAGGCGGGCGTCAAACGAAATTGCACTTGATGGTCATATCATATATAGTTTCACAAATGAAATTAAATGAAATTGTGTCTGCTCCATAATTCTTCAAACCTTTAAAGGATTTTGATGATACTTGAAACAAACGTTCATATTGTCAGATTTTTTTACACTATTGAAAGACAACTCAAATTACAATGTATGTAAAATCATGATAACTGTAGTGTGTTGGGATGACTCCACTCGTTTTCACAATCAAGCCTCTCTGGTAGATATGGTCAATAAGTGTGTTGTGTGCTGTAGTAGCCTTGTTTATTATTTGTTTAAAGCGATGTCGTAACATAGTGTGGGTCAATGGATGTTCTAAATATTGAATGAGGTCAATGTTGAAGTCTCCTAGAACTATGCAGTTTTCTGTTGGTGAATTTTCCAAGACAAGGGTAAGCTTTTGAAGGAACAAGTTAATCGGCAATGACGGAGGTTTATATACAAGGTTGATTAATAAGACCAATCATCCTATGAAGTTTGAGGGTTGTAGGTCAAAAGGAACTCTAGTTATCATCCGGAAATGAGAAATTGACCAACGGTCACTGTGACCTTGACCTTTGACCTACTGACCCCAAAAACAATAGGGATCATCTGCTCTATAAGACCAATCATCCTATGAAGTTTGAGGGCTGTAGGTCAAAAGGAACTCTAGTTATCATCCGGAAACGAGAAATTGACCAACGGTCACTGTGACCTTGACCTTTGAACTACTGACCCCAAAAACAATAGGGATCATCTGCTCAATAAGACCAATCATCCTATGAAGTTTGAGGTCTGTAGGTCTAAAGGATCTCTAGTTATCATCCGGAAACGAGAAATTGACCAACGGTCAGTGTGACCTTGACCTTTGACCTACTGACCCCAAAAACATTAGGGATCATCAGCTCTATAAGACCAATCATCCTATGAAGTTTGAGGGCTGTAGGTCAAAAGGAACTCTAGTTATCGTCCGGAAACGAAGAATGGACGGACGGACTGACGGACGGACGGACTGACTGACGGACGGACGGACAGGGCAAAAACAATATGTCTCCCCCCGAGGTGGGGGAGACATAATTATTCAACGTTTATCCTATCAGTACTTAACTATTTACATTCATTAGTACTATTTATGAATAGCGTAACAAATTACATCAAATGGCAAGTGTACAGCTGTTCAACCGCGAAATACTTTACATGTGTGTTAAATAGTTACGAAATGTTTCATACGTGTGTCAGAGAGATGTGTACGAATATGTCAAAAGTGTGTTTTGTACCACTACTCATCCCCTTGCAATATAAACGAAAATGTCACATGTCAAAAAGTAGAAGAGAGCATATACATGTATGTGAAAATTGTGTAATACGAAAACGTATCACATTTCATGCCACTCAAGAAGATAGGCAAAGAAAACGATAATTGGCTTAGCCTGAATAGGACCAAAATACAAGCAAAAGGATGGCAGGACATACACAAGATTTCACATGTGCGTCCAGACTGGCCATTCAACAGACAAGCTGACTAGAGTATACCCTCTTCGAACAAAATTTTATTATACAATTGATAGAACTAGAAGTCCAACAAATAACCTGCACAGTGTTCGTACTTTTATACTTTTCAGCCAGCCGGTTCAAAGACTTAAAAGTTGCATTTAAGATCAGCTGGCATATCAACAGCTGTTTCATTAACTTTATTTACAATAACTTGATGATAATCACAAAGTTTGTGCTAGTATATGGACAAGCAATCAAGTGATCAAAGCGTTTCAAAACATGTGAAATGAGAGATCAAAACAACTCATTTCACGTATAAATTATTTTTTTATAGAAGTATGCATTTCAAATGTATTTTCTCAGATTTTGTTAGTGATACCAGCTTGTAGAAGAATAAATCATTATATGTATTGATTTTATAATATAAAGTTACAAGGTGAAATACACACACTCGTCCAGAATGGAAATGTATTCGATGGTCACGCGTTACATTAAATTTTATTGATATCGACAGCACAAAACAATTATGTAATATTTTGAAAATGGCCAAGAAAGTGCTGTATAACATTTTGTGGGTGAGTTTAAGAGAGGTTTACATGTATATCATATGGCAACGAATGGGAGATTCGTTTTATTACGTGACTAAACGCATTAAAATAAACGAAAATAAACTTGTTTACACAACTTGTTTACGCGCACATCCATGCGACATTTCCTTATGGACTTTAAAGACAAAAATGACGCCACAACGATGTTATATTACACGTGTGTAATATTAAAAATTCTAACTCGACTCACACTATTCCCTTGTCAAATGACGTCAGGAAAATTACTTTTACGTTCAATATAGTTCAACATTTTTTATCAATGTTCGTTTTTTATAATAAAGCTTATTTTGGGCACATAAATTAATTGTATTTTTCAATCCCTTTAATCCCAGCAAACAATATCCGAGAGTAGAGAGTTTTGTAGAAGTATCTCTACACCAAATCTCTTAGATAAATGAAACGATTTTAAAACAGACGTGTGAACTGTATAGCATTGTAGGAATCCTGGAAGTGGACCTCTATTCGGTGAATTACACACCAGTAATTGAGGAGAATTATGCTGCGAATAAAATAATGATCATATGATCCATATGATGTCTGAATAGTCAGGAAATAATATGTTATGAGATTCTTATTAAATATTTTCACAATCATAACATTAGAAATAAGATATAAATTTTAGTAGTCAAAATAGCAAAACATACACACTATGTATTATTTTAACATGTTATATGAATTATTACTTTTTAGTTGTATGAATTATTTCAAATATGTTATATGAACAGCGCGTTAAATGATTTATTCTTGATGGGTTATATTAATTATTTCTTATAGTTTATATGAATTATTTCTAATGAGTTATGTGAAATGTTTCTAACGTACTGGCTATTTGTCATTCACAGAGATATTAGAAATAACAGTTTAGACAGCGTTCAACGGGGTGTTCTGTATTTACATAATCTGCAAGAGTTGTAAGTATAAGGTCTGATGTATTGTTGTTCTTTCATCAAAATTTAAAAAAAAATCTAAAACCATTTTGATCAGCATAGTATATAAATTTGTAAAAAGAATTGAAACAAATTTTTTTATATGTTTACAAGAGTATAAAAGAGTTCATACTTTCTCTAAATAATCTTTACAAATAAAGTTGTTGTTCATTTGCCAAAATATTTGTCAAAATAAAACGCGAGTGCATTTCGTCTGCAATTTAAAGAAAGGAATCAATGAATTTAACGCAACGGCACTTAAAATACAGGCGACAGCACTTAAAAGGCGGACATTTTTTATTCACTTAGGAGCACATTGATGAAAAGCTTACTTATCTTCTGCTGAAAAGTGATAAAGGTGATAATGGCACTGTCTTAATAGCGTTAATGTTTACTCTGACTTGTGAAAATACTTTAGAGTACAGTATAGATGACAACAATTATAAAACGCAATACTTGACCTCTATACTCTAATCAGCCCCTCCCCTTCCCCCTCTCCCAATACCCATCTACACATATTGAAAAAAGTGAAAATTTCAGTTAAAAGATTTTTACATTCCAATTGTTTAAAGTAATGGATTTCTTAACTTCAATAGTCAGAATTTGGTTTTTTAATGTAGATAAAAATTTATTTCTCAACTCTCTGCTAGGAGTTAATTGTCCGATAGGTCAAGAGTAAGCTTATAAATCTGCAGACTTAGATTGACTTTAGTAGAAATGTCTATAAAGCTACATGCACTTTATTGAAGATATATATAAGTGAAGTAAAATATTTGACAAGAAATCAATCAAATGCAAACAGTCATTAGTTTAGAAATGCAAGCATTGTATTTGCCAAAATAACACAAAGACGTTCATTTGCAATAGTTTTAAAATGCCGTCCATAGCAGAGTCGTTACCACTTGTCCCTCACAGCTGAGGGTTTCAATCCCGACTAGGCTTTTGGATTCTTTCATATAAGAGTGCTATCCAGCTCGCTTATGAAACGACGGTAGTTCTACTCAGGTGCCCGTTCATATCTAAAATGATATATGGAGGGGCACATGAGGTTTTCCTCCACAGTATCGCTGGAAAGTCGCTATATAACATTTACTTGCTGTTGCGACCTATAACCTAACTAAAAAAATACAACGGCTCCTTTAATGTAGCTTACAATCTTTACGCACATAATAAGTTTATAAATTCGCTTCTATTTTCATTTTAAGTAATTGAATTCGTTTATAACAGCACAAAACTCCATTGAAGCGCTTGCTTCTTTAATTATCTAAAAGGAATAACTGACTGTGTAACAGCTTTATCATCGTTAGGTTGCTGTGTATGTCGTGTAAACGTCTTCACAACATTATGTTCTTCAACAGATAAAAACATATTGAAATACTTTCTGTTTTTCCAATTAATTCAAACAGTGTACATCAATCAAAATTAGCCATTTTATTTCCAGGCACATCAGTTGGAACAATTTAACAACGCTTCCAGTGGAATTGTCTCCCCTTATAGAAAATGTATCCTTCAACATGTAAGAAACAAATTTTTTTTTAAAAAAGGTTCACAAATATAACGTTTTAGCGATTTCAGACAACACTCATTAATATTGTCGCTTTGCACTCATTTCTTTTCATCTTTCAGACTCAAGGGCGATACTTCATGCATTTTCTAAATACTTAATCATATTAAATGTAACACTTAAAAATATTTTCATGAAACAATCTGTATAGATCACGAATAAATGGTACACTATTGAACGATACGGCGGTGAATAAACTATAGTTTTTCATAGTACATGTATTTCCGTGTGAAATTGATTATTTTAGTTGCCAAGATATAGCATACACAAAACAAGAATTTAAACACAAAGACAATTGCTTATAAGATAAAAAAACAAGTTTAGAAATACGAATTATTTATGAATCTTGATTAATTCTAGAGCACTTGGAAATAATCCATGGCATTGCGGTTGTAATCTAAAATGGCTTATATCTTGGGTAAAGATGGGTAATACAAAAGAGGAAATTTTCTGCGAAACTCCCCAGTACGTGAACATGAGCTTATTCGATGTTGGTGGACTTGATTGCACAGAATTGGTTAACACAGGTAGATTGTACCCCTCAATTGTTGATCTAGTTATTGATTGTTTGATTGATTTGATTGATTTGATTGATTGATTGATTTTAATCTGTTCGTTGATTGATTGATTTATTGATTTTTATCATGTTATCAGTTTCTATGACCATTGAGTATCGTCATATTACGGAAACAATTCAGATTGTTCTACGCATCGTTAAAAGGATGAATTACATCCGTTTTTCCAGACTAATTGGGATCCGATTTACACAGTTTTGCTTCTTTATCCATAGTACATTTTGCTAGAAAATTGCTGAAAATTGGATGCCTTGAATAACTTGTAAATGTCCTATGAAAATAATGAATTTTCCCAATATCAGAGGCATGACTTTTCTCAGATATACATGGAATTCTTGTATTCTCCACGATTTAATTTAGTGTTGATTTTAAAGGTTGTCGTCCCTGAGGCTTTGATTTGGTCCTATCGACGATCTGGTGCGCTCCAAGCATGCGTCTATGGTGTTTCTATTGAATCTTTGGCCGCCCTAGGGAACATACCTAAGGTCGGCTTTTTCAGGGCGTCCGAGGAGGCTAGAACAGCATAGGGTCGCAACAGTCGCCGCATAAAACTTACTTGAAACATAGCAGAAAAACTTAGTATGGCTAGCTGACAAAAAAAAGACGTCAGGGTTCCTTTTCCGACTTTTGGCGTATACCAAAAGATATATGTTTAGGTCGTCATAGGAACACTTTGTCAGTATGATGAGCCTAAACGATATAAATCAGTTGTCAATAAGTTCAAAAGTATGACAAATAACTTTACTATAACCATTCAAGGATACTCTTATAATGTATTATTCTTATAATTTCAGCTTTACATAGATCAGGCTACATTGTTCTTACAGTTGTTCTCATTCTGGTCGTCATAACAACGTGTGCAACTTTCTTTTACCTTTGTATTTGGAACAAAAAGGGCAAGTCAATGAAAAGACCAATTAGGGTATGAGATATTTTCCTAAAAATCTCGATAGTGTATAAATATTATTTAATTGTTTTGTTCCAGCGAAAGTTTAATGAGTCGCGAAATACATTTTTTTATGAAATATCAGTTAACGACAGTAATTGAGTACTGATATAATATTTATGATCGGCTTTGTGTTTAATTATCTTTACTTTGGCATTGATGATTTATTTTCTCTTTACATTAAGGTTTCGTATTATCATTGTTTAGATGTCAGCTTTTACATAAAGTCAGAAACTAAATTAATAAACAAGGTATTATTGTTTTGTGTTGATTGGCAAACATTTGACTTGATCAAATGAGTTTATTTTATTATCTTATTAACGTGTTTTGCACATAATGATATTAATTGATGACTGAAGAAAAAAATCATTATAAATAATTTTGTCACCTATACAGCAATCGTTAATATATATTTAAACTCGCCATCGTAGCCGAAATTAATCAATTACGCAACTAACATTCTACATTTAAAATTCTAAATAATATATAAACCCAACTTGAGAGTCTTTTTGTTTTGGCGGTTGAGTTCATCGTTTGTTTTGAAAGTAACCCTTACCCTGCTAAATTTCTCGAATTTCAATTACGACAATAACATTTAACATTTTAGGGAAATTTCTAAATATGTATATACTGAAAAGCGGCCAGTGCCAATCTTGATGAGTCTGTTTCTGTTCTTGGTCTGCTCTGGTTGCATTGGTAGACCCTGTTTCCAGGGTTTGTTTTTAAACCGTATCATCTTGTTACTATAATTCAAAGATTGATGTCCTTATTAGTTCAAAGAAAATCATTTATCAAATGTGACAGAGTTCCTATAGCAACCAAACATTCTGTCTCCGGAATTTAAACAAAAATAGAGACATGTCTCTGAAACTAGATATAATTATCTCGCAAGGAAATTAAGGACTAAAGAAGTTCCTTTCAATGTACAATTTATAACTGCTTATCGCCATTACAGCCTAGCAAAAGGTTAGATTATTATACATGCTTTGATCTAAAATATGCCTGTAAGAAATATAAAATTAAATCATAACTATATTGAAATTACTAGTAGATGACAAAGTGTCATTAAAAAGGCTAGATAACACTAAGAGAAGCCCATGCATCATATTTTATGTTTCCACAAAGTCTTCCTTTAAATACACAAGAAGATTACTTACTCTGTTTCTCCTGAGTCCTTTCTGTTAGTAAGGCTATAGATTCAGTCTGTCTGTAATTATACTTGTTCAAGCCTTTTAATTTCTATGATTGCAGATGATAGTGAATGGGCAATATTATATACCACAATCGGACAATGACAGTTCCGACGTTACAACAATAACACTATCCCAATCACAGTATATGTCTACAGATTGTCAGAGTCCCAACAAAAAGGTATTTTCTTATTGACCAGATTTTTTTCTCGTTGACATGTGTATCACCTAAACAAAACTAGAAGATTCAATGAATTTTCTTTACATTAGATGCGCGTTTGATTGCAGACAGCCGTACTGAGTATATATTCTTCAAAACTGGGTTATTTTGTAATAATAATTATTCCGTATAAATCCTCATACTGGAAATAGTTAAACTTTTTACTCATCGTTTTAAAGATACTCAAACTAAATTATTGTGTTTTAATTATCGTTGATAAGATATTTTTGTATACCAATTAAGCTAAATCATCAAGTTAAACTCATCGTTGATAAAATACTCAAAATACTCGAATATATTAATTTAAATTAATCATTGATTTAACAATTTAAACTCTGCAGAATGTAAAGAAAATACAATTCCACGAGAAGAATATCACGGGGTTATTACGACTAGGTAAACGAATTGGTCGTGGCGCATTTGGAGACGTGTTTGAAGGTCTAACAGCAGAATCAAATAGTTCATTATGGAAAAGAGTAGCTATTAAAAGAATCAGAGGTGAATGTGTTTACTCTTTTTATATTTTATATTAAGCCAATTAAGCAAAGATTGTTATTATTGTTTGTTTTTCATGTTGTTGTTGTTTTTTAGGGGTGTGGTTTTGTTGTTGTTGTTTTTTATTTCTTTGTAGGTGGTCTATTACAAAATTCAGAACGTCAATGATTGATTAAACAAGAAAAATATTACATACTTTCGTATGTAATATAGGTACGATTGCATACTACTTTTTGTGAAGACTTTTTATGCTTGCTGCATTATAGGTGTAATGTAAAATGAACAAACATGTCATGAGATATTTTATATCTTTAAACATTTTCATGGAATGTAATTAATGTATCATCATATTAAAGTTGCATGCCTTCAGATGAGAAAAATGATTTCAAGGAAAAAAAATATGAAAAGAAAATTAACGGTCAATTGACTGCTTTGAAGCATAATCACAGAATAAAATTACAGGAAATTATAAAACTTTTTAATACACTAAATGTAGGATTTCATTGTAAGTCATAGTCGCAGATTTGAGATATGATTATTTATTCATATTAACATCATTATTGGTTATATATTGATAAAAAAAACCCGAAAGACACATTTTGTAAATATTTATTACAATAAAATATGAAAAAGGTAGTTTCTATCGAGGTTAGCTATATCTATAATTCCCGCGCTAAGTCGCGGTGGTGCTTGGGATAATCACTATACTGTAAATGGCAGCCATTTTACGATACGAAAATGCCTGGCCCTCCTCGGACAGTTTAACCTGCCGAAAAGATATGAAAAAATACTTGCAATTCAAAGTTTGTTTGCTACATAAAGATTATCGATTTACTTTTTGCAAACCTTTTCTCTGCCTGATTGTAATAATATTGATGTGTTTTCATTGGCTTAAACCGTCACGTTATCAATACACATAAAGGTGTGAACTAATTTCGTGTTCATTAAAATTATTCCGTTAATAGACATATAACAATCTTATTTACAAATGAATTGATAAAACAACAATCCCAGAAGCATTTAAGATAATAACAATCATTGGAAAAAAATGAATGCATATAAATTGTAAATTTGTGTATGACAACTCACCCCCTAAACAAAACATAGTAGACTCAACCAAAACAAGCGCCTGCTTCTTAACCTAACTATGTAGTTGCATGACCATGATTAGAAATAGCTAGCAAACCAAATGTAAGAGGTAAACCTATTGTAGAAATAATACTATGACCACAGCAGATTTCGTACAGAAAAAGACACGTTTTTACTTTATTATCACTCTAGACATTTTTGTTTTATTTTTCTAAAATATCTTATGTTTTATATCTTCCCGTATATTACATGTTTTTATTATTATGTTTTAACGCTCCCGGTATATCTGTGTTTTATCGCTCCCAGAATATTTTATGTCACCGCAGTATATAATTATCATATTTTATCGCTCGTGAAATATCAAATGTTTAATAATTCCCAGTATATATCATGTTTCATCGCTCCAAATATATTTCATGTTTTAATACGCTTCCTGATTTCATGATTTATCGCTTTACTCTCATTACACTTCACGTTTAAAAACTCCCGGTATATAACTTGTTTCAATAATATATATATATTGCTAAGCACCATAAGTTAATTTTTTATATTATCACAAATATAAAACAGATTTCTTTTCAACTTTTGAAAATTCTGATTCAACAATGTTTTGAGAGAGTTTCCTGATATGAATCCGTGTTGACTAATCCGTTACAACTCGTCTAGGTATCATGGAAAGCATGCAACACAATATTTTCATGCTTTTGATGGGGGTGTACAATGAAATGTCTATTGTTATACGGGCGACATTACCGGTTTATTGTCATTCAGTGGCTTACATTTCTTATATCTGTCACTTCGATATGTCGAATGCTAACATTAGACGGCATTTGAGAGAAACAGACACTTGGGGTGTGGAGCTCAAAACGCCTTTAAAATCCAAATAAAATGTATATTTGTCAATCCCAGAACATGTCTGATCATATATATACATAAAAAAAACTTAAAATAAGCCGTTTTGAAAAAGATAAAAATGTTCGCCGGAAAAAATCCGTGGCGCGGTCTATATACGACAAAGCTGGGGAGCCTGTTTGAATTTCTCGAAGGTTTTGTAAATGGTGTAAAACGGCGATAATCTTGATGTTTATTTTGCCTGTTGCGTTGTTTATATTGATGTTGAAGTTTAAAATTGACCATCATCGTGGAGAATAATATCTTCTGTGTCGATAGACAAAGGGATTATGTGAAAATATTGGAAATGAAATAAAATTTAAAGGCGTTTTGAGCTCTACACCTCAAGTGTCTGTGGATTTACGAAGGTCTGTAGAGATGATGCTGCAGGGGCCACCTTCCGCCAGGTTGGTGCGGCGCTTGGTGTATACCACACTGTCATCACCAGAGCCTTGGAGAGATACCGGCTACACTTGCCAGGAGGTATGAGGTTGGCAAAGGGTCATTAAATATTTTAATATTTATTTCATGTTAAATCCTTCCCAGTATTTATGTTTTCAATCGTTTCAAATCTTTTTCAGACAACGCAGCGTCATATGATTCAGATAATCTTATCACAGAATATCGACATTTAACTGATATTGGGAAGCATCCGAATATAATACAAGTTTTCGGAATAGGAAAACTTGATGGTAACAACAGCTTTATAATCTAATTCATAACAAATTTAAAAATTACATCTCTATTAAGTTTCGAATTGAAATTTGATATATAAACACGAAAAATGCAAACAAATGATGAATTCAATTTCGATATTTTTTCTTTTTTCATACGGTTGCTGGACATTATACTTCCATGAAAATGTTATTTTTTTCCAGATCATTCATGAAAATGACGACCTGACTAGCGTACGCGTATTGATGGCGATTTTTAGTTTCGTTAATATCTTTAAATACAACAACGTACATATTACTTTATTATTTTTTTTATATTCGGTGTACCTGAGACATTTTCCAATCTACTTGTGTCATATTACATTTAATTTAGCAGATGAAACGTAATTGAGATCATTTTACGTGGTAACGCCGAATTCGTGAATGAAGCACTGAAGTAGCTAAATCATATCTTGCCAGTTTCCTATTATTGTTATACGACAGTTGTAATTTGACAAATGTCTTAGTTATATAGAATATGAAAACAAAGTTTTAAATGTGTTCAGTGTACATATTTACTTGACGAAACACAAAAGTCACCTTCAAAACGGTAATCAGATTGTCTTTCTCACCAATGATCTAATAAAGGAACAAATTCCTGAATAAAATGTAATGCTGGTGAAAGTATATTGTCGTTGCGATATGCACTTTATTCTTTTTTTTTGGACCGAGGATAAAATATTTTGGCCTGTTTACTTACTGTATTATACGTTTTGGCAATAGCGTTGCACATATTCGGCGTTACTTTAACGTTAATTGCACAATCCTGCATTTCTGGATATGCACGGTGATAATGTTTTGTCAGCATAATTTTTTGTAACTTTTTTTGTAGGATCGTTGATAATGGTCATGGAATTAGCAGAAAACGGTGATTTGCTGGGTCATCTAAAAGAAATTGAAAAATCTAATCATAGAACTATCCGAAATATGGACTCATCCGAAGAAAAATTTTATTTCATGAACAGGCATCCAAGGTTGTTTGTTTACATGTGGCATATTGCAAAGGGAATGGAATACCTTTCGAATATGAAGGTAAGTTTCGTTAACTAATTATTCCAGGAAAAAAAATCTTTGCATTAAAGCTGTTATTGGTGTGAACGCTTGCAAAGCAAAAAATTAAGATACTGGTGATTTTTATGGACGGCTAATACGTTTTATATTTGATATTATCTGTAACATTTACATAAAAGTGATGAATAATAAATACACAGTTGACTTTAATCTGCATTTGTTATTAACTTACACGAACTAAACATTTCCTAGAATTCATTGCAGTGTTTTTTTGTAACGTGATTTCAGGTGGTACATCGAGATCTTGCAGCCAGGAATATATTGTTAGCTGCCGGAAATATCGCTAAATTATCAGACTTTGGTTTGTCACGTGATGTCTACGAAAACGGCTACTATTATCAAAATTCAAAGGTCTGCTTCTTTAAAACATATGCAAGAAAGCGACAATGCAACAAAGAAAAACAAAAGCAAAATACGAAGTAAAAAAAATAATACAGTGAAAAAAAAATAAAACGAAGAAGAAAATATGCAAAAAAGCAAAGACATGACAAATAAGAGACATATTAAATCCTGTACAAATTGTTAAATCATAAACCTATTCTCACATTTTTAATACCAAGTATTTTATTAACACATGAACCATGTTTTAACCAATATCTTGTAGCGCGGCTAAAGTAAATTTTGAAAGAATGTTTACTGTTATTCAAAACCAACTAATTTCTAATCATACAGGGAAGACTACCATACAAATGGATGGGCCCTGAAACATTATCCAATGGAAAATTTACATCAAGAAGCGATGTCTGGTCATATGGTGTACTACTATGGGAAATAGTGACATTGGGCAGCAGTCCGTACCCTGGCATTCCTCCAGATATGCTCATCAATATGTACAAATCAAAATACATCATGCCTCAGCCGCCATTATGTCCAGACAGCATGTACGTTTTAACACCATTCGATCGTTATTCCATTCGTTCATTCCTTCATTTATTCATTCATCTCTTTGTTTATATTAGATCGTAGTGTCGCTATTAAGATGCAATGTAACCTTTCAGAATCCTGTTTTAGTTTAACTAATGATGCAGGTCCCATATGCCCATTTCTATGTAAGTTTTAAGTCGGTTTAAATATCTAAATATGTTTTGGATATTCGTAGATACAAAAAAGGTCATTGCTTAATTAAGATTAAATTGACACACATTCCATATTTTTCTGTTTTTCTGTTTTTACCATATCTTCTTTATAACTTATGAGTTTTTATTTAAAACTTAAAATATACATTCATAACGGACATTCATATCATATATGACAAGGTTAATAACTCAAAAATAGTTCTTATTCACATCAGGAATTACTTCACACTAAACAAAGACACGTGTTCTTTGTTTGGTAGGCAAATGACAGAAAAGGACGAACGCGGAACCTGTTTGCCTAATCTATCATTTCCACGACTTTACTCTTTTGATTGATATTTTATGTCGCATTCTTTCTTGACTGAAACCTGTCTTACATTGAGATTTCTGCATTCCTTTTCTCAACTTCTTATTGTCTACCTTTATGTTTCATTATTTTAAAAGAGAAAAATAACGCCCAAACTATTTATAACATGTTTTTTTTCAATAATCATACACTTCAATAGATTCTGATTCTGTTTTTTTACCCCTAATCCTAGATCTGGCGAAATCTTGGCATGAATGACCAATGTTCATTCTGTCTTTAGATTTTGAATATTTAAGGATCAACTCCTAAAAACTTTAGCCAGGAGGTAACCAGGACAGTTGGTTTAAAGTTCATATATATATCAATAAGATGCACAATAAAAGGTTTATGTTTATTTTTTTAGTTATTCTGTAATGAAAGATTGTTGGAAACACATTCCAGAGGATAGAACAGATTTCACTTCACTTGTTGAAAGGTTAGACAAGCTGGTCCAGACATTTTCAAAAAAGGTAACAAAACACAACAATAACATTTTAAGCCAAAAATTGGCTCTCATGAATTGTTTATCTGCCATTTTAATCAAATCTAAATGTTTTAATTAGATTTCCCATACGTGTAGTCCTGTTTAGGTACCTCCGGTGCAATCCATTTGTTGACTACACTACATACACATTTTCATTCATTCATTGGTCGTTTTTGATATTTTATTATTTCTGCTTATGTTTCGTATGTATATATTTTGTGACTTTGAATGTTTTCAGCAATATATGGATATTTCTTTCGACCAAGGAGGCCAGAAGGTGTCACTGGTGAACGGTGACGTAACACCAGACTGAATATTGGAACAATTTACCATTTCAATGCAGAAGAACAATAAAATATCAATTGGATGGAATGGATTTATCATTTTTACTTTTTTTTTCAATGAGGCAACTTGATTTTGAAGAAAGGATATTCACTTAATTGTAAATGCAATCCAATACATACATTATAATATCAACAAAAGTGCAAAAATAAATGTTTCATTAGATATGAACATAAGTGTCACCTAATTTGTTAAAGTAATTGCAAATAATGGGTATGTTACCTTGAAATATTATTTTGTCTGCAATGATATTTTTCAATGACATCTAAACATTAATTGGTTATATGGATTGTTATAAATATATAGGAGCTAAAAGGTGTATTATTCGAGTACATGATTTATCTGTGCATGTATTAAATAATTTTATCAATTCTATTTCTTTCGGTTATGTTTACTGCCGCGTACTCTAGCCCATAATACGACACAGTCTACATGTTTTTTTTGTGTGAGAAGTGCATGATACAATAAATGCCACATTTAAAAGGCGACCCAGGTTCTTTTACATGCAGATGTAGTCCCAAACACACCAACAGCTCCCGTAAAGAATCTGGAGAAAGTGTGATCCCTCGGAAGCATTAATCACAACAAAACTAAATGAAAATTGCTGACTTAGTTTAATTGAGTCTTTACATGAAGGACAATGAAAGAAGTGTATCATCCAGTAAGTCAGTATGTGCATTTATATATAAATTGTTACATTACACTGATTTTTTATTGTGCCTTTTTATTGTAAATCAAGAACATTAAATAATAAATGATACTTTTCATAACTGTTAACAGTTAGCGCAAACTGTATTTTGTATGAGATATATTACTTTTGCGACTTCATAGGGTATTTGATTTTGAACTTATAGCAAACATAAACCAGCCTAATTGATGATAAAATTTATAGATTATTTAAGGAATATCAAATTAGCCGCGTCACGACAAAACCATCATAATGGGTTTGAGACCAGCATGGATCCAGACCAGCCTGCGCAATTGCGCAGTCTGATCAGAATCCATGCTGGTCGCTATGAGTTTCTCTACATGCTATAGGGTTTGTAAGCGAAGAGCATGGTTCCTGATCAGACTGCGCGGAGGCGCAGGCTGGTCTGGATCCATGCTGGTCGCAAACCCATTATGTTGGTTTTGTCATGGCGCGGCTCATACATTCTGAGATAGAATTTTTGAAGATGCTTCTTATGAATCAATTTTGAGAACATAAAGGACATTTACGAAAGAAACAACAATTATATTCAATATTATGTATTTATGTCATAACATTTTATAACTTAAAACGAGACATTATTATAGAATTATTTTTGTTATTAAATGTGCGTGAAAATGTTAAAGGGTAACGTTTTGTATTTTCTTTCTCCCTATCTCCGTGTGGTGTTCATTACTTAACCAGAATAGAATATACACTAAATGAGCTATTGAAATTGCCCAATGTTCGTCTTCATTGATTCGTTCGGCTGTCTGTTCTTATGTCCGCCTATAAACATATTTTCATCACGATTTATCCTTGCTCAAAAGGATTATGCATCTTCACTTGTCACACTCTTTTTCAAATGTTAACCCGTGTTTGAAGTTTCAGAAACCTAACATCTGTATAGTTATATATGTGTTGAAAATTTCACTTTGTTGAAAACCTTATTTCATTGACACCCTATTTACCCTTGTGTCGGAAGGGTTGCCTTTACGGGTTGAGGTATCAGCATTGCAGCCACCGTTTAACTCTGCAGGATCGTAAGAGGTGAATAAATGGGTTCGGATTATTGGAGTCTATGCATCTCTTAGCTCCAGCAGATAAGGTGTTTTGAGCCGTCGTTAAGTTTGTAGCCAGAATAATTTTCCCACCATATGACATGAACTGAGTTTTGTGCCGTAAAACTTAACCAAAAAAAAAGAAACCCTATTGTTTGGATAATCATCCACCAGGATTGTTCGATACAGTAAGAATTATTCCCAGCTATCAGTTTACTTAGATTATTCAAACTAGTTTGATTTATAAAAATATAACCCTGAGAAAAGGGATGGGGTTGTGTTTCCCTATACGGAAAAACAATGCAACATCAGAACAAAGATCAAGAAAGTAAAGGAGGCATTCAATATAGTTTGAATGGCCAACGTAAGGATGTCCGTGGTTGACTGCTTATTGTTGTTGACTTCGAATCACTTGAACCTCACCATTATGGATTCTAATGCTGCCGTGCAGTTGGGATCTTTTAGCGTGAGAAAGCTATCTAGCTAGCTTATAGGCCGTCGGCGGTTCTACTCTGATAAAGTAATGCATTAGGGCATCTAAGATGTTTTTTAACAGTTTAGCTGGAAAGTCGCCATATAATATTTCAAAGTGTCGGTGTGAACCGGCAAAGCCGACAAGCAGAATTTGGCAACAAAAATTATGTAACCGTTCTGTTCATAGCGAAGTCTGAAAGTTTTAAAATGAATTTATTCCACATTTCGAAAATGCAACGCACCATGCACGTACTTGCTATTTTTTGTCTTTGGTCTTTCATGGATTGACTTAGGTCCTTGAATGTACCTTTAGGTCTTCCAGTCAAAACGTTTTTCTCTCGACGAAAAAATCTGTTAAATATCTTATAATGGATTTAGGAAAAGTTTCATGCTTATCATATAAATGTAAACGTTTTACTTCTGAAGAACTGTTAAACCTCTGTTTTATAATGTTTAATAAAGAATGTCTGATGCCAATCATTTGAAAAGGCCTAAAGGTACCCAAAAAAAAGCTTTTGAGAACTTACATTGATGCCATTTTAGACTTAATGGGCCTTTGGCCTGTAAATTTATAAAAGAATGTAAGTAGTCACATTTAACTTGACTTCCACTCAGAGGAAAGAGAACAATTTTACAATACAAACATGTATCAAACAGCACATTTTAACAAACTATCATTTATATCTTATTGCACTTCAATAAAATAAATCTTTCAATTATTTCATCGTGCAATGAGGTTTTTCTACTAGTTTACACTAATGGTTTAATGGGTTTCATGAGTTTGAATAAATACAATTTGTAAATCTATTTGCGTAATATGTTTTCTTTGCAACTTAAAACAAACTTCTACCTAAAAGAGACGAATCGTCGTAGAAAATCGAAATTCGAATTTGAAAACATTTGCATAGAAATGGCTTTAGAACGAGTTTTTTAAACAAATTTGGAAAAAAAAGAAACACTTAAAGCGGAGAAAGACACGATATGTTTTTTTAATTTTGCATACGAAACCACAATCTCCCTTTGAACGTCGTACTTCTCCGGTTATTAGCAAGGTCATTGAACGTTTATAAAGTATTGAGATTTTATATGTAAAACAACATACATTAGTTACATTATATGTCAAACAATTTTCAAAACAACTTTCGGTCGACAATATAATATCGTGTTTGAATTGTTCAAGGGTATTGTGGCGTTAATGGAAAGATATAGAGGATATTTGTTTGTTTGTGTGTAAGATGAAATTTTATTTCATCGAGTGGGCTTTAAAAACAGTATTCTCACGAGTGGCGAAGCCACGAGTGAGAATACTGTTTTTAAAGTTCACGAGATGAAATAAAATTACATCTTACACAACAAACAGACAAATTTTCTTTTTATTTTATGCTTAAAAACAAGTTAAAACGAAATTTCCATAATTTTAACGTTAATATTAAAACTGTTTCCCCCATTGAGAGCCCCATTTACTCGGAATTTCTCATTAAAAAAAAAGAAGTCTTGAGCTGAAAAATAAGTCCGCCAATCAACATTAAATGACGGTGATATTTATTAATTTTATTGAAAAAATATGAATGATCGCTTGTTTTGATAATAAAAACAAACAATTCTTGTAGGAGAAAAAGTCCAACCATCCATCCATATTTCTGTTACTTAGTGCGAATTTATATTAGACCTGGCTTTGTAAATTGTAAGCGGCAGCCATTTTTTAAAGTTGTGTATTTCATGGGAGGAAAATAATTGTGTAAGATTCAGAGGGATATAATTTGGATTTGTTAGTCATACACATTTTTAAAAGAAAGAAAACCTATTTGAGGATTGTAACAGACAAAAAATAAGTGTTGACAGATGTGAAAACATTCAGAAAAGGAGCTAGGAAAATGGAAAACTTGGAAACCTGCTCAAGAACGCTGGGTTGATTTAACTTATTCTTCGAGTTATGGCTGTCAATGCTTTCAATTTTTCATAAAGCATAGGGCAGTTATTGCTCGTAGGATACTTTAATATGCCCAAATGTCATCAAGAGCAGTTTTGCATGGGGAAGGAATGTATTTTTGAGACTGTCAAAATGAAACAAAAAAACGAAATTTGGTGGTTGGAATTTCATGAATTTGAATGAATAGAAGTAAGTTTTCTTCTTTTTATTACTTTTGACATTTAAGTTATTTATCAATTTCAGTTTTGCTTTTTCTTTAAACAGCCTGACATTGTCAGAATTGTCAGCAAAAATAAAATTGAGTTACCACATGGGGAAAATCTTAAAAAAGTAGTTTCGTCATTGAAAAGAGTGAAATTATATTTTGATAATTTTCACTGTGAAATTACCAAATATAATTTTCACGGATAAATCAGTAATCCACTGAAAAGCATAAAATAAAATGCTGTATTCGTGTTAATCACTGACAGACAATACTTATTTGATTATGCTTTTTAAGTATATTGGTACTTCCGATGATACAACATGCCTTCTACTTTCTAACTTAAATCAATGCTGTAATAAAAAAAACAACATGCTAATTTTCTTTCAAAAGCTTTGTAATTTAAAAACGATTCGTGACGAGGAATTAACATGCAAAGAAAAAGGAGCGTCTTCTTGAAAGTGATTGTGTTCAAGTTTAGGAAATGATTGATCTACAATAAACATAATGATAAACCATCTTACTGTAACTAAGATTTTATATCAGTCTGATATTGAGTCAAAGGTTTTATTTTCTTATTTTTTATCAACTTTTTAAAAAAATATATTTTTATCATTTCATTTAAGACATGATGCTGAAGAATATATTCTGTTATGATATATAAAAAAACTAATTTTCTTTTATTTCCTCATATGATCTTCAAAAGCAATGCTTTAATCATAAGTATCATCATTATAATCACGATCATGTGTATGAAATATGGAGTTCAACAGAATATTATTTGTGACATTCCTCTGTGAAAATATAAGAAATCAGCCATCCTTCGTTATGTACTTTTAATACTATTAGTAATGGCATTGAATAAAATAGATAAATACAGAATCCCTAAAGAAAGCCCAACACGACAAAATTGAAAATGTTGCAGGCTCGGTTTGATTGAGCCGGTTTATGGACGGTACTGGAAAGTGCAAGTTACCGTCCACGCCCCCTAGAACCGGCTTAAGCAGAATTCAACATTTAAACATGAAATAGTAAAATTTTGAATTTAGAAACATCCGCAGATGTCTTCATACGGCGATGATCATGGAACCTTCAATGTGACACTTCCGTGCCATTCCATGAAAAGCGGCGTATGGTCCCCAAGTAATAAAAAGCGTGTGCCCTAAACGAGAAAACAATGGGTGGAACTAATTAAAATGGAATTTTGAAAGGGGATCAGAGGTTATGAAGCCTGCATATCACAGATACGACGTCAAAAGACAAATTTAAAAAGCAAGCAACATATCCTAAGGGTGATTCAACATTATTCAAGTAGGAATATTGGCACCACCCTACTAGAAAATGCCGAAAAGTTTAAACTAAAAATATCACTAGTACAACAATAATGTCGTGCTGAACGATCGTCAAGGATCGAAAATAAAACATAATTGATTAAATGTACGGGGAGACTTTTAACAGCCGCCACACGGCACAAATAACACGGATGTGACCATAAAATAGATAAATACAGAATCCCTAAAGAAAGCCCAACACGACAAAATTGAAAATGTTGCAGGCTCGGTTTGATTGAGCCGGTCCATGGACGGTACTGGAAAGTGCAAGTTACCGTCAACGCCCCCTAGCACCGGCTTAAGCAGAATTCAACATTTAAACATGAAATAGTAAAATTCTGAATTTAGAAACATCCGCAGATGTCTTCATACGGCGATGATCATGGAACCTTCAATGTGACACTTCCGTGCCATTCCATGAAAAGCGGCGTATGGTCCCCAAGTAATAAAAAGCGTGTGCCCTAAACGAGAAAACAATGGGCGGAACTAATTAAAATGGAATTTTGAAAGGGGATCAGAGGTTATGAAGCCTGCATATCACAGATACGACGTCAAAAGACAAATTTAAAAAGCAGGCAACATATCCTAAGGGTGATTCAACATTATTCAAGTAGGAATATTGGAACCACCCAACTAGAAAATGCCGAA